GAGCCAAACAAACAAATGCACCATTTATATGATTACTGAGTGTTCTCATGGTAAGGAGAAATTAAAAGCAGCTGGTGGGTAATCTTAAATTTTAGTCATTAAAAAAAATTTTAAGACAAAATTCTAATTCAGCTACTTACCTGGAAATAAGGCTCAGGCTGGTGATCGTTCTCTGCCATCTGAGAAGCTGGAAAAATCTGACACTCACCTTTCCTGTCAGAAGAAAGCTGAAACTCAGGAAAGGAGGTGCCTGCTCTCCATCGCCATGGAAGCAGGAAAACTTGCCTTCCTTGTCGGAAATGAGTAGAACTTCAGAAAAGGACTTGTACAGCAAAATCAACTTTAGATCTCAACCAAATTTTGGGAGATCAGGAACCCCCTGCAGGGGAGAAGCTCCCCAACCTCAGCAAATTATCCTATTGGTTTGGGCAATAAAGATAGGCCAGGTTGGTATCAATCAATAATGAGATTTATCAAAGGTCAGGACTACCTTTGTAATCTCCTTCTTTCTTTTTTTTTTTTTCTTTGAGACTGAGTCTTGCTCAGTCACCCAGGCTGGAGTGCAGTGGCACGATCCCAGCTCACTGCAAGCTCCACCTCCCAGGTTTATGCCATTCTCCTGCCTCAGCCTCTCGAATAGCTGGGACTACAGGCACCCGCCACCGTACCTGGCTACTTTTTTGTATTTTTAGTAGAGACGGGTTTCACCGTGTTAGCCAGGATGGTCTCGATCTCCTGACCTCGAGATCTGCCCACCTCAGCCTCCCAAAGTGCTGGGATTACAGGCGTGAGCCACCGCGCCCAGCCCTCTGTCTTTTTTTATCTTTATTGGTATAGTCTGTTTTGTCAGGAACCAGTAGTGCAACACTTGCTTTTTTCTGTTTTCCATTTGCTTGAAATATTTTTCTCCATTCCTTTATTTTGAGCCTATGTATGGCAGTGCATGCGAGATGGGTTTCTTGAAGACGGCATACTCAAATGGGTCTTGGTTCTTTATCCAGTTGGCTCCCTGTGTCTTTCAATTGGAACATTTAGCCCATTTCCATTTAAGGTTAGTCATGGTATGTGTGGATTTGATCCTGTCGTCACGCTGTCAGCTGGTTATTTTGCAGACTTGTGTATGTAGTTGGTTTTTTGGCATCACTGGACTGTTTACTTCAGTGCATTTTTGTAGTGACTGGTGATGGTCTTTTCTTTCCATATTTAGTGCTTCCTTCAGGAGCTCTTGTAAGATAGATCTGGTGATAATGAATTCCCTCAGCATTTGTTTGTCTGAAAAGGATCTTATTTCTCCTTCACTTATGATGCTTCATTTTGCTGGACATGAAATTCTGGGTTGAAATTTCTTTTAAGAAGTTGAATTTTATCTTTTCTGGTTTGTCGGGTTTCAGCTGAGAGGTCTGCTAAGTCTGATGGAATTCCCTTTGTAGGTGACCTTGCCTTTCTCCCCAGCTGCCTTTAACGTATTTTTTTTTTTTTTCATTTTGACCTTGGAAAATCTGATGATTATGTGTCTTGGGGATGATCTTCTCATGGCATATCTTACTGAGGTTCTCTGGATTTCCTGAATTTGAATGTTGGCCATCTGGTTAGGTTGGGGATATTCTCATGAATGATATTCTTAAGTATGTTTTCCAAGTTGGTTCCATTCTCCTCAGCTCTTTCAGGTACATTAATTCCTCACAGATTTGGTCATTTATATCATCCCATATTTCTCACAAGTTTTGTTCATTGCTTTTCATTCTTTTTTTCCCCATTCTTGTCTGCCTGCTTTATTTCAGAAAGCCAGTTTTCAAACTCTGGGATTCTTTCCTCTGCTTCGTCTATTCTGCTGGGTGGTCTTGCACATGAAATGGAGTTGGTCTGACTTCAGCCCTCCTGAGTCTGTTTGCCTCTCCCAGGACCCCAGCTTGGCCACACCTGCTTACAGAGCAGTCTCGGGTGCCCACACACACTACAATAATTTTCATAATGCCATCACGCACAATCACCATATGACTGCATTATGAAAATTATTGTAGTATTGTTTACAGCTCTATCAGGTCTATTATGTTTTTCTTTATACTGGCTATTTTGTCTGTCATCTCCTACAGTGTTGTACAATGATTTTTAGCTTCCCTGTATTGGACAACGTACTTCTTTCACTCAGTGAACTTTGTTCCTACCCATATCCTGAACCCTGCTTGTATCATTTCAGACATCTCAGCCTCAGCCCAGTTCTGAACACTTGCTGGAGAGCTGATGCAGTCATTTGGAGGAAAGGAGGCATGCTGACTTTCTGAGTTCTCAGTGTCCTTGCACAGATCCTTTCTCATCTTTATGGGCTTATCCTTTTTCAATCATTGAGGTTGCTGACCTTTGGACAGGGTATTTTTCTTTTATTATATCTGATGACCTTGAGGATTTGACTGTGGTGTAAGGCGGACTCAGCCAACTAACTTTGTTTTTAGAGGATTTTAGGGGCCAACATGCAGCTCCCAATTCCTGGACTGTGTGCTTTAACTCTGGGGAACTCGTATTGGGCCCCAACTTTGTTCTCTGGCTCCTTGAGGTTTGAAGTCCACTGCACTGAGGGGATCCAAGTGCAGCAGCTGCAGCAAAATGCTAGCAGATGCAGAAGTCCCTGCTCACTGTGGGCGTTCAGCAGGTGGTGGAGGCACGACAGCTGGGGTGTGGGCCAGGGGGCCCCTGCTGACTATGTGTGCACTGGAGGCAGTGCTGGTTTGGGGTGGACTGCTGGCCAGTGCACGCCTGGGCGCCTTCTCTGAGCCCCCCGCCCCAAAGCAACAGTGGTCACTCAGGGTATAAGAAGGTCCCTTTTTCTCTGCACAGCATTACCTCAAGGGTGAGATGTTGGCGGGGTGGGGTTTTTGGTTCTGTGCCCACCACGGCTTCATCTTTAGTGGCAGTTGGTGTGGGTTGGGGTGTGTGCTGCACTCCCATGTGCTGTCAGGGCAAGTACAGAAAAACCCACCGTGTAAACACACACAGCAAAGGGATGTGAGAAGTTTCCATATAAAGAGCTGCAGTATGGAGAGGTGATGTGCAGGCTGGTTCATGGCTGTAGGGGCCACCTTGCTGCAGCTCTCCACTAATCAGGCACGGTCCACTGGTACAGAAGCTATAGTGTGTGCACCCAAGAGTGTCCTGTAAGCAGGTATGGCCTGGCTGGGGTCCTGGGAGAGGCAAGCTGACTAAGGGGTGTGAGGTCAGACCAGCCCCACCTGATGTGCAAAACTGCCCAGCAGAGATCAGGTCTCGGAGAACTCTCTCAAAAGTGAACCCCAGCACAGCACAACTGCTCTACACAAACATGGCCAGACTTCTTTTTTAAGCAACTCCCCTTTTTAAAGAAAGTAACTCTTAGATCTGATCTGTGCTGGGCAATCTTGCACATGAGACAGGGCTGGTCTGATCACAGCACTCCTTAAGTGCTGGGATAAAGTGTCTCATAAGAGCAAGTGGAGCCTAGAGAGATAGCTGTCCCTGCCCTGTGGGCTGCATGTCAGCTGACTTGTTGCTCTACAACTTTCCTTGTCTCCTGGAGGCTCCACCCCAGAGAGATGTAAGTTAGCAGTTACTTAATGTAATCACCCCAGGATGGAGGGTGTGTGCTGTGAGCCCAAGCCAGGGTTCCCTGTCTGGTGATGAGCAGTGGAGGGTGTGTTGTACCCATGGGAGATGGACTAGTGTATTCCTTGGGTCAACTGCAGCTTGTTGGAGGTGTCGATATGGCACTTAGGGTCTTTGCTCCCTTGATATTCTGAGGGAAGCAAGGGCAGTTCCACTGCAGAGGCAGTGGCACAGAGGATTTCAGTTGCTCCTGGAAGCTCAGTCCAGGGAATTGCCAAGTCGCTACAGGCTTGATAGTTCCAGTGGGGGGCTGGCTGGAGACCCAGGTCAGGAGGGCCTGCCCATCGAGGAGATAAGATATGGAAATGGACACCCACTTAACAGTCTGGCCACTTTTCTGTGGGGCTGCTGTGGTATGCTGGGGGTCCACTCCAGTCCCCAATTGCCTCCTATTTTCCAGTGCCTGAAAGTATCAGCAGTGAAGTCTGCAAAAAGGCAAAGATGATAGCCTGCCCCTTCCTCTGGGACCTCTGCACCCTCGGAGGTATGAACCGGTTGCCAATCTGTACACACCTGTAGGATGTGGCTGGAGGCAAGTTGAGAAGTCTTGCCTAGTCAGGAGGAACAGGAACAGGGACTTACTTAAGAAAGAAGCCTGGTCACATTTTTGTAGAGTGCCTATGCTGTGCTGGGGGTTCACTTCAGCCCCTGGTCACCTCAGACACTCTGAAACTTGAAGGGTCAAATGGCTAAGTCGTCCAAACAGCAAAGATGACAGTCTGGTCCTTCCCCTGGGAGCTCTGACTCAGGGAGGCCTGAAACCTCTGTCAGCCAGAGAACAGCAGTGAAGGTGGCTGGAGACCCTGGTTGAAAGGCTCCACCCAGTGATTAGAAATGTGTTCGGGGACTGACTTAAACAAGAGTCTGGCCATGCTTTTGCAGGGTGGCTGTGCTGCACTGAGACACCACTTCGGCCCCTGGTCAGCGTGGGCTATCCAAAGCCCATGGGCCAGAACAGCTAGGTGCCCAAACATCAAAGGTGGTGGCCCTCCCCTCTCTCTGGGAACTCTGTCCCAGGAAGGTTTCAAATCTCTGTTGGCAGGAACACTGTGGGGGTAGCTGGAGGCCTCAGGTGGGAGGCCTTGTCCAGTGATGGGAACAGGATCAGGGCCTGCTTACAGAAGCAGTCTGGCCATGATTTGGTAAAGCAGCTGTGCCGTGCCCAGGATCTCTTCTGCCCTTGATGGATTTGTAGTCTCCAAAGCCCACACACTAGAATGACTAAGTTGCCTGAACAGGAAAGATGGGGGCCTGCCCCATCTTGTCTCTCAGAATTTATCCTCTGTGATACAGCTTAATGTTTAGGCTGTTAATTTTACTGTCAGCATTAGAGTTGTTCAGAAAGAATCTCACTGTTATCTTTTAGGTTAGATATATGAGAATTCATTTTCTCCTGTAAATAAACTTGTTCATGTTTGTTCTCTGGAAAGAAGTCTCTTTCATCTATCTGACATTGATCACAGTCAGGTAGAGCAGCAGTCAGTCTAAAACGACATGATAGGATTTCCATTTCCAGTGTTTCCTAGCTGTGTCTTACATTCTGCAGTTCAGAACTGAGCATTCTCAGTGGTCAAAATGCTAAGCTGTCCACTCTACTGAAATACTGATTTTTGCTAATGCTTCCTCATTCAATTTTACAGCCTTTAGAAGTTTATCATTTTTCTCAGTTGTCAAAATGCTAAGCTGTCCACTGTACTTAAATATTAATTTTTGTTATTGTTTCCTCCCTCAATTTTACAGCCTTTAGAAGTTTATCATTCTTTGCTTTCACACTTTCAATTTCCTCCAAAAGTTTCCTTTCCCTTAGCTGGCTCTGCTGTTTTATTTTGTCTACTTCCAGTCTCAGCATGGCAATTTCTTCCTGCAACATGCAATTTTCATGCAAGAGATCTTTTTCTTGCTTATGGCTAAGAGACACCTAAGTAAAGAAAGGGAACTTTTAGTTAGCACTCAAGAGAATGACATATCATGATTTCTTCTGAAATTAAAGAATGACATTTATATTTGTATAATGAAAGAATTTCCATAGTGGATATCTAACTGGAAAAATGTTGGACAAAACTTCAAATCTAAAACAGTGTAAATTCCAAAAAGTTGAAATATTTATTTAAAGACCATGAAAAATAAATCCCTAGAGGATTTTTAAGAATTTCAGAATTGGAAAAGCCTTTCTCTGAATTATAAAAACAACCAGATGCATAAAATATAAGATTAATATGCTTGAGTATATTTTTTAAATTGGGTTTATACTCTGATATCTAACCTATCAACCACACCCTTGTAAGAGCCTTAGCTATGCATATATTTGGACAGAAGCCATTTCTTAAAGTTCTTTAAGTTCCTTTTTCTGAAGAATGTTTTATCAATATACTGCTTTTCTAATATTTTTACAGTCAGTTATAAGAATTGCATTTATTCATAACTGTTTAAGCATTGTGTCCTTCCACAATGTACACATCGGCATCTAAACATTGCACTTCTACAAACAACACTGAACTCATTTAAGATCACGATTCTTAAAAGGAGAGGTCAAAAAATATATGCAGCCAGGAGCAGTGGCTCACACCTGTAATCCCAGCACTTTGGGAGGCTGAGGTGGGCGGAGATCATGAGGTCAGGAGTTTGAGACCAGTCTGGCCAACATAGTGAAACCCTGTCTCTAGTAAAAATACAAAAAATTAGCTGGGTGTGGTGGTGTGCACCTGTAAACCCAGCTACTCAGGAGGCTGAGGCAGGAGAATCGTGTGAACTTGGGAGGCAGAGGTTGCATTGAGCTGAGATCGTGCCATTGCACTCCAGCATGGGCAACTTCATAAAATCACTGTTACTTTTGTGGTGTAAATGTGTTAATACAACAGAAGCCTTATATTTCAAAATACAAATGGTAAATAAGATACAACTTACAATGTTTTTCTTAGAAATTGTGAGATTATTTGCCATTGCAATAACTTTTCTTTCCTCTTTATAATGTTTGAAATAGTAATAAGTGTGAAATAAGGAAAATACACTGAAATATTTCTCTGGGAACAAAATGCTTATCAATAAATTATCACTCAATGTATATCATGGCACGCCATTGTATTCAAAACTCTTTGCATTGAAATGAGAAACTTCTTGGAGCAAACTGTTACTCTCCTCAAAAGTAAGGATAATGACATCCACAATGTGGCCTCTGACCCAGCTATATATTTCCTACTTTCCTATTAGTGAAAATAACAAACTGATTTCTCTATCAATATTTTTAAAAGATGAACTAATGTCCAAAAACTAGAAAATCTGTTGTCAGTAGCAAAACTTATTTTTGATATTGGAAAAATCATCAATTCTTATGAAAAATATGAAATGCTTCTCCTTTGGATTGAGGCCATTGTGAGGATCACTACTTGACTGTTGCAGTCAAATGTAGCTGAATTAAGAACATGGTTTTATCCTGTATGTACAGGATATGATAAAGGATATATGGAGTGTCTGTGTATATATATACACACATATGTGTGTATATATATGTTTTAAAAATCCTTTATCCTTTCCAAAATACATAAAGTTATTTTTTAAACAAATACATATATTAAAACATTTGAAAATGACTAAAGAAAATACCTCAGAATTCATTTCCTTTTCAGCCACTTCCATCTGCTCTTGTTTATTAGTCAGAATCTCTTCTTGTGACATTCCAGCGATCTGTTCTTCCAAAACTTGCTTCTGGGTATCATTTTGTTCATCACTAGAAGAAATTTTGATTTTCATGAAATACTGGAGGTATCCCTAAAATGATCTACAGGGCAAGATGGTGCCATCAGATGTCATTCACACAATGTATATCTGCACATTAATCCAAGACAAGGCAAAAGGATCTCACATCCGTTAACCCAGCTCTCCCCAACCATGTTGGCACCAGGGACTGGTTTTGTGGAAGGTGATTTTTCTGTGGACCTGAGTTGAGGGATGGTTGCAGGATGATTCAAGCACATAACATTCATTGTGCACATTATTTCTATTATTACTTATATATAATGAAATAATTATATAACTCACCATAATGTAGAATCACTGGGAGCCTTAGCTTGTTTTCCTGCAACTAGATGGTCCCATCTGGGGGTGACAGGAGATGGTGACAGATCATAAAGGATTAGATTCTCATAAGGAGTGAACAACCTAGATCCCCTGTGTAAGCAGCTTACAAGAGGGTTTGAGTCACACTCCTATGACAATCTAATGCCACCACCGATTTGACAGGAAGAGGAGCTCAGGCAGTAATGTGAGTGACAGAGAGTGGCTTTAAACAGATGAAGCTTTGCTTGCTCACCTGCCACTAGCCTCCTGCTGTGTGGCCCAGGTCCCAACAGGCCAGGGTGCATGGTACTGGGTGCATGGCCTGGGGATTGGGAAGCCAGCCCTGTGTTAACCCATACTTTTTATCTTTATTTTTTGGAAACACTTTCCACTTATATTCTTGATTCCTCTGTATTTTATAGACAACTTAGAAATTCCTTTTGGAACAAGACAGGGTCTAATATTGTGTTTTTAACATACAACTTTGAATTAATTTTATCTGTGTATGCGACAGAGATGTGAAATAAACTAATCCTTAATCACTTTCAATTTTACTTTTATTTCATGCATATTAAGAATAAAACTGGGAAGTCCTAGGCAGAGCAACTGGGCAAGAGAAATAAAGGACATCCAAATTGGAAAAAAGAAAATCACACTATCTCTTCATCAATTATATGATCTTATCCCTAGAAAACCCTAAAGACTCCTACAAAACACTCTTAGACTTGATAAATAAATTCAGTAAAGTCTCAGAGACTACAAAATGTACAAATACCAATGAGTAGTACCACTATACACCACCTACAGCCAAGCTGTGCATCACAACAAGAACCCAGTCCCTTTGACAATGGCTGCAAAAGAGTAAAATACCTAGGAAAATACTTAACGAAGCAGGTGAGTCAGCTATAAAAGGATAACTGGAAAACACCACTGAAGAAAATCAGAGATGACACAAATAAATGAACATACATCCTATGCTCCTGGACTGAAAGCATTAATATTGTGAAAATGACCATAGTGCCCAAAGCAGTCTACAGATCCAATACAGTTTCTATCCAAGTACCAATGTCATTCTTCACAGAGTTATTTTAAAAAGCTGCCATTCATGTAGAACCACAAAAGAGCCCGAATAGCAATGCACACACAGAACAAAAGGAACAAACATGTTGGCATCACATGACCTGAAAACTGTAATTATTTTTAATGAGGTAAAAATGTATAAGAATATCACTGTTACTGTACAGAGAAGACAGTGAACAAGAAAAGAAAAGGAATTTAAAAAGAGAATATCACTACCATATACATATATTAACTGACAGACTAAAATCTCCTACTGGAGATTATGTTAAGACTTGAGCAAAAGCTTCTAGAAATACTAAAAACAGAAACAAGACAAATAATTTTAAGGAATAAATTTTACAGAGAAATATGTATTTTAAAAAAAGAAAACAGATCTTCCTGAGAGCTATTATTAACCAATTCATCTTGACCAAAATTTTAAAATGAGGTGTAAAATTCTGCAATATAAAATAGATTCATTTTGATCATAGTTAATTGAAGGCAACTTTTAAACCAAAAATGTTCAGTTAAAGTTGAGTCTAACTTAGGAAAGAAATGACCTGTACCAATGGTAACAAGAAGCCACCCAGAGCCAGTTTGAAAACTAGTTAACCAATCAATGACCACTGGTCTTGCTCACCAACCACTACAGATGTATAGGAAGCAAAAAAATTCCAACTCTGTCTTTTTATTTCAAATACCAAAGGTTCATAATCCCTTGAAAAGAATTTGTAAGTCCATTAAATGTGCCACCCCAATTTTTAAAAAATTAAAAAGTGAGTGGCTGGGTGCAGTGGCTCACGCCTGTAATCCTAGCACTTTGAAGGGCCGAAGTGGGTGGATCACCTGAGTAAAGAGTGTGAGGCCAGCCTGTCCAACATGGTGAAACCCTGTCTCTACTAAAAATACAGAAATTAGCCAGGCGTGGTGTCATGCCCCTGTAATCCCAGCTCCTCATGAGGCTAAGGCAGGAGAAATACATGAACCCAGGAGGCGGAGGGTGCAGTGAACTGAGACCCCACCACTGCACTCCAGCCTGGGCGACAGAGTGAGACTCCATCTCAAAAATCAAATCAAATCAAATACTAGTAAAGTTTGCAAGTCCTCTGACTCAGTTTACCATAATTACAATTATGATTACTAGTAAAAGAATAAATAATGAATAACCACAATATTGGGCTTTTCACCCTAAATAAAAAAAATAGTATAAAGAATGTAGCTTATTATAAAGAGCCAAAACAATTTTTTAAATGCATATAATTAGCAGGCAAAACTATTAGAGTGAACCACGTCAAACTTTTTAAAAGTGAGAATCAATCAAACAATATACCCAGGATAAACTCCATTCACTCATTTAATAAGGATTTATTAGGTAGCTACATCCAGTATGCTAGGCCTTTTTCTAGGCAGTGTGGATTATGGTAGTGAAAAATAAAATCCCAATGCATGAGAGTGAGGTAAACACACAATAATAATGGACACAGAAGACAAAATATACAGTACATTAGAGGAGAAAAACTAAAGCAGGAAAATGAAATGTTTACGTGTTTGATGGGGAGGGTGGTGGGAAAGTTGAGATGGTCAGAAAAGTCTCTGCTGACAAAGGGGATTTTTTTTTTTTCTAATACAAAAAAACCTTTTATTTGTATATCAAAGACTCTAAGAAATGATGACATAAGGTTAACAGTGTTGATGTCAAGATACAAATGGGTTTGAAGTTAGAGATGATAAGTCACTGTTTCATTGAACCTTCCCTTGGTTGCATTAGAGAGCCTCCCTGGTACACTCCGAATCTTAAGCATGATGCGTCCAGGTAGTACATGGTTCTTCCTCAGAAAGTGGTTGTTCCATAATGTGTTTCTTTTCACCCTTTTTCTACTTCTTAGTAGAAAGGAGGTTTTATTTTTTTTAAATTATTATTATTATACTTTAAGTTCTAGGGCACATGTGCATAACGTGCAGGTTTGTTACATATGTATACTTGTGCCATGTTGCTGTGCTGCACCCATCAACTCATCAGCACCCATCAACTCGTCATTTACATCAGGTATAACTCCCAATGCAATCCCTCCCCCTCCCCCTCCCATGATAGCCCGGTGTGTGATGTTCCCTTCGAGTTTGTGTCCTTTGTAGGACATGGATGCAGCTGGAAACCATCATCTTAGCAAACTATCACAGAACAGAAAACCAAACACCGCATGTTCTCACTCATAGGTGGGAACTGAACAATGAATCACTTGGACTCGGGAAAGGAGGTTTTAAATAAAGAACTGAAGGAATGGAAAGAGTAAGCTAGGAGGATATCTGGGGAAAAAGCATTCCAGACACAGGGAACTGCCAAGTACAGAGGTGTGCTTGGAGTCTTTAAGCACTAGGGGTAGATAAGGGATGGCAAGAATTTCAGTGAGGCTGAAGCAGAGCAAGGGAGATAATTAGGAGGAACTTTGACACATACTCAGAGTGAAATGGGAGGCAATCAGAAGGGCTGGGGCACAGGACTGACACAATTTGACTTATATTTTAAGTACATCCACTGAGTTAAGAATTGATGAAAAGGGAAGTTTTTAAAAGCCAGAACTATCAATTGTCAGTCTATGACACTCATGTAGACTGCAGATGAGGGTGGCTCAGATGTAGAAGATATGACTGGCTTCTGGACATATTCTTCAGGTAGACCTGACAAGATTTACTGAGAGATTAGATGTGAGGTGTCAGAGAGAGAGAGAGATGAGTCAAGAATGACACTGAGATTTTTGGCAGAGCAACTGGAAGAGTTGCCCTTACACAAAGTAGGAACGACTACATGAGGTGTAGATTTCAGGAAGGCCATCAGTAGCCCAATTTTGGGTCTGACAAGTGTGTGATACCCAATAGCTAACCAAATAGAGATGTCAAGTAGGCAGGCTGATATGGAAATCTGGAATTAGGGAGAGAGATCTGAGCGAGAGACATACATTTTGAAATCGCTAGCATATACATAGTAGAAAAAGTCACGAGGGGCTGGGTGCAGTGGCTCATGCCTGTAATCTCAACACTTTGTGAGGCCAAGGCAGACAGATCACCTGAGGTCAGGAGTTTGAGACCAGGCTGGACAACATGGGGAAATGCTGTCTCTACTAAAAATACAAAAATTAGCTGAGCATGGTGGCACGAACCTGTAATGCCAGCTACTCAGGAGGCTGAAGCAGGAGAATCGCTTGAACCCAGGAGGCAGAGGTTGCAGTGAGCCGAGATCACACCACTGAACTCTAGCCTGGGTGACAGAGTGAAACTCTGTCTCAAAAAAAGAAAAAGTAATGAGAGAGAAGATTGAGGACTGAGCCCTGGGAAAAAAATAATGTCAAAATGGAGAAAGATGACGAGGAGCAAGCAAAACAGATCATGATGAATGGACTAGAAAGGCAGGAGGAAAAGCCTAAGGGAGTGAGGTCCTGAAAGCCAAGTTGAAGACGCTGTTAGAGAGGAGATGTCCTCCATTGGCTCAAATACTGTTGACAGACTAAATAAAATGAAGTGTTAGAGAAATGCCTAGATTTATTACAGAAAAAAATTAGTGATAATCTTGAGGAAAAACAATGTTGGAGGAGTGCTGAAACTGAAGACTTACTGGTGTGAGATTAAGAGTGAATGAAAAGAAAATTGAGTTCATGAGTGTAGACAGTTCTTTTAAGGACACCATACTTAGAAGTCATGACTGAGAATGTTGTCATTTTCTTCCACAGTCATGGAAAAGTAATAGACAATTAGTTTTAAATTTTATATAACAGGTGTAGTCTTCAAATTTTACATAACAATTATATATTTTAAAGATTATAAAATTATACACATGTGGCATTAAAAATGCCAGACTGAGGTGTTAAATTCTTAAAACTATAGAACTAAAAGTTGCCTTGAACATTTCTAGATTCCATAAACTGAATATCACTTTGTTCATGCTTACACGTAAAGACCAAGAAACACTAAACGTTTCAAGGAGAGTATTTCTTGCTTGATAAAAATCAGCCAATTCTAGAACAGTTGATACTCATCAAATATACAAAGTAATTGATCACAGTAAACTACTGAGTTCTATCAACAGGAATAAAGTGGTAGAAATGCTGAAAATAATCTTATTTTATAAATGAAATTTTAAAAATTATATGAAGTCACTGTGGAAAACTATGGTGTGGTGAATACTGAAATATATCCTTTTCTCAAAGGAAGGATAATGTCACACATGCAGGACACTTTTATGAGTAAGAGTTACTGCATTCGCAGCACCTTCCTTTTAGCACAAGGTCAGCACATTAGCACATTAGCACCTGTGGGCCAAATCCAGCCCACTGCCTGTTTTTGTAAGTCAAGTATCTTGGAATGCAGCCATGCTTATTCACTCTACAGTCCACAGAGTCAATTAGCTGGGTGTGATGCTGCACATCTGTGGTCCCAGCTAGTAGAGAGGCTGAGGTGAGAGGATCACTAGAACCTAGAAAGTTGAGGCTGCAGTGAGCCATGATCATACAACTGCACTCCAGCCTGGGCAACAGAGACCTTGTCTCAAATACTCAAATATATATATATATATATATACACACACACACACATATATATATATATAGAGAGAGAGAGAGAGAGAGTTTGCAAACCCTAAAATATTTACTAACTGGTTCTTTGCAGAAAAATCTGGCCAACTCCTGGTTTAGTAGATGAAAGATCCTTTGATATATTTTAATAAAAGTTTTACCCAATATACTGAAACATTTATATTAAATATAGATCCCTATGTACAATCCCTTGGCAATATTCAGATTGAAGATCCAATATTTCAGCACTCAGGCACTGACAACAAAAATTTAATAACTAGCAATCAAGGTAGAGTGTAAATGTAGCATGTAGCTTCCATTTGCAACACAGCAGATATTACAAGAATTCTAACAAAATTATCTTAAGATGTGTTATCTAAAACTAAAGGCTTTAAATACATTTTAATTGTGAAATAATCAGTTTACTCTATATCTAACCTCATTTGTAAAAAAAATGGTTGCATACTACATTATTTTCTGGGAATGAAAATTGAGTTATTTCCTATTGGTAAGGATTTACTTTTGATAATGATAATTTCCTACTGAAAAGGATTCACCTTTTTGATATAATGATGCTGTAATAAATGTCCTTATACATAAGTATATATGTAACAAATCTATATAAATATCCTTAACATACATATATATCCTTACTATGTTATATATGTGTGTGTGAATATGCTACTAAATTAATGTTTGAAATGTGTTCACCAACAGTGTGCGAAATGTCTTTTTCAATGAGACCATTTCCTTTGCAGCAACACAGATCAAGCTGGAGACCATTATCCTGAACAAACCAATGCAGGAACAGAAAATCAAATGCCACATATTCTTGCTCATTAGTGGGAACTAAACAATGAGAACTCATGGACACAAAGAGGAGAGTAACAGACACCAGGGTCTACTTGAGAGTGGAGCGTGGCAGGAGGGAGATGACCAAAAAACTGCCTTTTGGGTCTTTTGCTTATTATGTGGCTGATGAAATAATCTGTAGCCCAAACCTCCATGATACAGTTTACCTATGTAACAAACCTGCACATGTACCCCTGAAGCTAAAATAAAAGTTAACTAAAAAGAAAAGAAAATGCCTTTCCCCTCAAATTTGCCAATACTGGTTATTTCTCAAATAAATTTATGACTAGAAAAAATGGTAACTCGTTTTTTGCTGATTATCATTTTTCTGATTACCAGGTGAGGCTGAATATCCTAGCAAAAGTACAAAATTTGTTAATCATGAATATTAGCCAAATTAGGATTAGTTTGACAGCACATGGTTTTCTCCTGTTAAATGTTGCCATAGGCTTACCTGTGATACTCTTCATTCTCAGTGTCAGGAAATTGCTGACTTTCCGGTGTTCTGCTCTTGCTTTGTGGATTTAATCCATCATCACCATTGCCAGCAGTGGCATCATTAGTCAGGTTTTCTGGTAATCTCACATGATTACTTCCGTGCTTCTTCATTACTTCTTCAACCTTGAGTGGAAGTTTGATATTAAGGATGGTTATCACTTTATTGAATAAAAAGAACCTTTTTAATTGATTTTATCAATTGACTTAGTGTATCATTATTTTAGTCATTAAAAATATTTCATGCTTAAGTTTGATCATATATACATAACTATTACCATATAATTTTAAGATGCAATTATCATATCATTAGTGTATCATTGAAATATTTGTAAAGTTTGCTTTATTTCTGTTTGACTGAATAAAATAGAATTTTCCAAAATTCAAAAAGGGCCCTCCTTCATTTTGTGCTTTTATTCCCAACCACTCTTCAGAATCTTATATATGTATTTACCCCATTTGACTCATGGGAACACACAAATAAAAAGACAAAGACGCAAAATGTGTCCTCTTCTGTCTTTACCACCTAGATCTTACATTAAGCAGTTAGATTTAGAGGATGAGACACTGTGGGGCTTCAGGAATAGAAAGGAAGATTGCCCTTTTCTGCACTGAGATTTTCTTCTCCCCCACTGCCTTTGACCATTCTTTTTTCATTTGGTTCCTGGGTTATCAAAAACATGATGGTTCTCACTGAAACATGGGAACCAAAGTTTGCCACAACACAAGGAGCAGAGTGAAACTGCTGAGGTAGGAGCATGGAATCCCACAAAATGAGATGCTCCCCAAATTTCACATTCAATAGTCATACAATTTTCTAGCTGGAAGATACACAGAATAAGAAATTATCTTCTTTAGCCACATTATCTATTGATAATCAGACTAAAACCAAAAAAGATAAAACGATTGATCCAAAGCTCCTAAAGTGGCATGACCTAGCATTTTACAGCACCATTCAGGATTATTTGAGAATAATGAAAGAGTATCTCTAGGGTTTGTATCTCTTTAAACCTCAATGTACAGAATTCGTTCTGAGTTAAATATTAAATTTTTCACTGATGATTTATGCTACTTACATGATAGGATCATGTATGCCTACACTTAGTACACTTTGTTAAACAACATAATGTAAAAATTGAATTCAACAGAAACATTTGAATATAAAGGTATACCTCTCTATCACAATCCTTGTTTATTTCTTGTTCTTGAGATATTTCCTGTAAATGCAAAAATAGAAGGTTAATTTGCTTGTTGTATTTCTGTGATGTCTCCTCTCTTGGAATGCATGTTTTTAAAATAATTTTATTTTAAGCAATCAAGTATGGACAAAGAAAAATTAGAAAATAACTAAAATTAAAATTTAACTGTCAAAATAGTTAAATAAATAAATAATTAATTAAAATTAAAAATTAAATTTTTAATCTACATTCAGCTACTGCCACATCACTGGCTTCTGACTAACATGTGAAAAATATTTCACCTTAATCAAAGGGAGAAGAAAAACATGAACCAGCAAACTTAACTTTGTCACCATTTGTTTGGACTAAACTTAATTTGTTCTGTGTTAAATCTACCAAAAATGCATCAGCAGATGATTTGTAGTGTTGCAAAATCTTCCTCACTTGAAAAGAGTTTACCTCACCAAACCCTAACCAGTGAGCCTCTACAGATTACTAACTGGATTGTAGGCACGCTTTCAATTATTAGGAGCTGAAATCAACACCAAACAGAAAGAAATGTAAATTCTTAAATGTTAATTGAAATTACATGTTGTAATATGATAGTGTTATGTATCTAGATGATCTCCTTAAGTCCAGTTCTAATATATTCTAATGTGTACTAATTACAGTGGATAAAAATTTTAATAATCTGTACTGATTTTCTGCGACTGAAGTAAGTTCGAATGTTATTGTGTTTCTGTACTAATACCAAAGGTCCCACTCTGCAAGATATGATTCTTGTAATAGGCATTTGGGTTGCTTTTATGACCTGGTTCCCTCCCTGAAGAGAAATGCTGAGGTCAGTGAAAGACCACAAGGCAGAATATATCTTTAACCTTGCTATCAGTGACTGCAATATAAAACTGCAGATTTTCAAGCGCTGGCCATGATTACTCTTTAACCATGAATCCAGGTCAGGGACCATCAGTGTTGCATTGTTCATAATTCCATTGCTTAATAATATAATCCAATAATTGATGTTACTTTCTTTATCATGTTAGGGTGTTGTAAGAATAAAAGAACAAAGTTCTGGAATTTCTTTTGCCTCTATTCCAAAAGGAAAGATTACCTATAAGCTAATCAAAAAGGTAGATAAGAATATTTCAAATAAGAATATTGTAAAATAAGAGTACTTTAAATTTTATAGCGGTTATGTTTTTAAGTTAAATTTCAAATGCTAAATTAGAATCTATTGATTCTTCTGTTAATGAGATTGCGAATTTATTAAATTTTAAGATTCTATTAAAAAGTTCTTAGAAAAAAGAATCTATTGATTCTCAAAACCTAGTCTGAAAGGTAATTTCCTTTGAACTATCTAATATTACTAAAGCAAAGAAAATAACATTAAATCAAAAATTTAAATTTAAAATTCTCCATGCCTCTGGCTGGCTATTTTCACTGCCTTTAAGCCTTTGTGACTCTTCCTCTGATGTCAGCTTTAAGTCTTGTTCTGTTGAGAAATCCATATATTCAGTTAAAATGAACCACTTAGAACAGTTAAAAACTATTGCCTTTATAAAAATAGATTTAAGACAACATTTTATTTTATCTTATAAATTGAGTGTTTAGTGTTTCATGAAATAGTTACTTAGGAAATCATTCTCTAAGACTTCAGCAAACCACTTGGGGAGACACCTGATAAGATTCACTCACAAATTCATCCACCCAACATAAATGAACAAAACCACCAGAAACACAACTTTAAAATACAGTAGAAACATATAAGGTAACACAGTGTGTTGTTCTCCACTTCTTAATCATGAAGCAGAAAATGTAATGAGAAGGAAATTTAGTTTTAAAGAGAAACAAGTTTTCCTGCACTTAGCTACTCTGACTCTAAGGATAGTAACAGGCAGGGCCCAGGTAAGGTCGTGTTGACCCTGTCTGAGAAGCCAGAGCCCACAGGTATGGGTCCAGACATCCCAGAGCAAAGTTAAGAAAACAAACTCCTTTACCATCCTCCCTTCCCCGCAGCATTTACTCATAGCTATTTTTACAAATGCATATATTTTGCAAGTTTCTGTTTTCCTTCAATGTAGTTGCAAAGTCACAAGCTATGCTGAGGTTGCAAAACTGTCACTATATGATTAACCACCTTTGTTCTGCTTCTGTAAGCTTGCCTTTATAAGCCAAGCTCTGCCTTTGTTCAGGACTCAGTTGTTGGAAGCAAATCTGCTGAGCTGCTGTGCACCTAAATAAAATCCTCCTGTTTCACCCACTGGGTCTCTCCTACCTCCTGTTTTCTGCAACAATAGTACCTTATAAATGATTTGCAAAATTACTACTAATGCCTTTATTAGTGTACAATGTCTTCCTAATATCTAAAATGTTTCCCTCCACTATTCTGACAAATTTATTTTCTTTTCTTTTTTTTCTTCTTTTTTTTTGTTTTGAGCCAGGGTCTTTCTCTGTCACCAGGCTGGAGTGCAGTGGCACAATCTCAGCTCACTGCAACCTCTGACTCCCTGGTTCAAGTGATTCTCCTGTCTCAGTCTCCCAAGAAGCTGGGATTACAGGCATTCACCATCATGCCCAGCTAGTTTTCATTTTTTTAGTAGAGATGGTGTTTCACGATTGGCCAGGATGATCCTGATCTTTTGACCTTATGATCCACCTCTTTAGGCCCCCAAAAATGCTGGGATTCCAGGTGTCAGCCACCACAACAAGCCTTATTTTCATCTTTTAAGAGCAATGCTGTGTGAAGTCTTCCTTGATTCTGCATGTCTTTCCCTAGATAAAAAGGTACCTCCTTCCTTGAGGCTGCCTTCGTACTTCACTGATTTTTCTACTGCATCTTTACCACCTGAACTGTACATTATTCCCCCACATGTCTGTCCCCTCTGCTCCAAGACTGCAGGGGACAGTCTTGCACATCATATTTGTAAAAACAGTCTTTATTTTACTCAGAAATTTCTTATTGAGTCCTGCTACATACATGCTAGGCATTAGGGTTTAAAAACAATGAAAATAAAGCATATCACAGATGGCTTTTCTAGAACACATGCCCAAGCAGAGACTGAAATATTGAGGCTAGCCAGATTAAAAGCGGTAGAGGGCAGGAAAGGGTAACAGCATTCCACACAGCAGCAAGAGCAGGAGTGAGGCCTGAAAGAGTGAACGAGTGAGTAGGACATTACCAGCAGCTCAGTAATGCCAGAGAAAGGACGCACAGGGAAAAGGGCTAAAGATGAAGAGTGGGGCAGAAGTCAGATTATGAAAGCCTTATGTGTAATTTTAAGATGATTGGACATTAATGTTCAAGAGTGATCCCTGGTCCTATCTGCATTTAGATAAAGATCATTTTAATGCCAAAACCAATATTCCTAGTGAGCTGTTATTCCTTAAGACAAGGTGACAGATAGTTCATGTGGACACAGCTGAGATGTTACTATGTAGCAAATTCTCAATAATTCTCATGAACACTTGGAAAGTCAATTCTATAATAAGTCAAAGAAATTACAATAAATCACTTAATATTTGGTTTGGGAAGGTGCTTTCTAAAGTTATAGTGCATATGAATATAACTCATAGTTGTGGATTCAGAGCTGTGACAATAAAGCAATGAAACCATGATGTGTTTGAGTCAGTGATCTTTAGATTTCTACCTAGTCTTCCTACCCAGTCTGTAAATCCTAAGTATAATCCTGGTACTCACTCTCAAGTTTACATTAATTACTAGCCTATACAAAAAACACTCTTTCTCTTGCTTCTTTTTGTTATTTATATGTTGCTTTGCTTAAAGAAAGAACACAAAAATGCCCTGCTAAAGGGATTCTGTTTGGTTGCAGGCATCAAGAGGGGAAAAACAGAAAGCATATTTTGCAGAAAATGGTATTTTAGAAGTCAGAACTATGACATGAAGTCAAGCAGGGCACTCTAGGACTGAATTTGCTGTGCTTCTTTGATACACTCCTTGCTCTCTTTCTTTTCTGGCAGCCATGACTCACACAGGTCATGGAGACTATCATTCCCTAAGAGGAACATAACTCTGATATTCATCTTTATCTACTAGGATCATGTGTCCCAATTCTGTGTTCTGTGGATGCTGACTTTCGGTCACTGATGGTGATACACATGGACATTTTCATCAACTTTCAGATTCTTGGGTCTTTGACAAGTCTTGTTACTGAGAGTCAAACTAGTAGGATGTGAGTTATAAATGCTGGTTATCCAATTACCTACTCAAAATATCCTACATGAATATTCCATTAAACATGCATAGGAAAAAAATGGTCATTCCTGCTGACCTGCAGCTCTTTGCTCTTCTGTATTCACCAGAAAATTTCCTACTCCTTCCTCATGTCCAGGTTAAATACTAGTGTACGACCTGGAAACCTGTAAATCATCTGACATTTCTCTCGGTCCCCCAAGCCTTTCTCATTCAATTATCACTAAATCATATTAATTATACCTCTCTTCTGCCTCTGCTTTATATTCCCACTGCCACTGGGAACATAAACTTTACAAAATGGCTCTTATTTAAAAGAAAACCGCCAGCTATTAATGTTAGCTCTTACATGAAATAAAAAGTAAGCAAAACAAATAAAAAAGGCATAACACCATAAAAACAAAGGCCAACATATTAAAATGAGTAACTGAGATTCCTAACTTTATTTCACCACGGATAGGTGAAAACCTTATAATACATTGATACTAGTCCAAGGATGTGTGACAAGCAAACTATAGCTGACTACTGCAAAAGTTTCCTTTGTCTCCTGGTTTCTTTACAAGGTTATATTCCATCAATCCCAGCAAACTATAGGCCACAGTCCAAATCCAATCTGCCTCATGGCTTTGTAAATAAAGTTTTATAGGAGCTCAGTCAGGCCTGTTTGCTTACAAAGAATCATGGTGGCTTTCACACTACAACAGCAGACAACAGCAGGGGTAAGTAGATATGACGGAGACCACATAGTCTCAAATATTTCTCACCTGGTCCTTTACAGAAAAAGCTTGCTAACCCATTTTACACCATAACCAGAATGCCTTAATACTCAAATTTAATCTTGTGACTCCCCTGCTCCCATGTCTCCAATGAGCCCCTGCAGCAAACATTGTCGGCTCCCTACCAATAACCATTCCTTATTCTTTCTTGCAGAAGAAACACAAGTCTATTGGGATATTTATTATCCCAATCTCCCTCCTCAGCCTCAGAAAGAGAAACATTAATTCTAAGCTAATCACATATTTGCATTCCCAGTACCTGGTTTGGGAATGAGCAGGTAGTGTAACACAGCCAATGAAATATTACAGGAAGCCCCTTGTGTGCTTCTAAGTTTTCTGCCTGTTTAGAAGAAACAGGTGAAGAAAAGAAGCCCTTGAGATGTTGTGTTGTGAGAACAAGATGTTTGGAGCTGTTGCAGATTAGCCAACTGTGAAAGGAGACATGAATAAAACACTGTCAACAGCACAGAAAGAGGGACAAGAGGGATCCCTAGGATATCACTTAACAAACAAAACAACTCTGGTTCCTACTGTTTTCGCCACTGCTCATCAGTATTTGCAGTCCAAAGCATTCTACCTGGTAAACTTCTCATGGCCCACAGGATAAGACCTGCTCATTTCTGTAGTATTAAAAAGTCTGTCATAAACTTGCCTTAGCTAAGTATTCACCTCATTCCCAACCTCTGGTATCTCACACTTTTGGTGCTAGCAAAAGTGAACTGCTCAGAAACCCTGCAAAGTTCACTCAAGCATCTTGTCTTTTGCACTTGCTGCTCTTCCTGCCAAACAGGCAATCTCCTTAGATGTTCCTTCTGGCCAACACACAATCTTGTTGCATGTTCCTTCTGCCAAACATTATTCTTCTGCTTCTTTACCTAGAAAAATTCTTTTCACTCTGCATGCTTCCCTTGAATCATACCTACTTTTTTTTTTCAAAACTTTCATTCCTCATCACATATGTCTGGCACATAATCAATATATAATAAATTATAATTATAAGATTCCAGTGGGCATCTAGCACACAGTAAGCACTGAATGAAGTAGTAAAATTTTAAAAAATGACAATGATAATAACAAGCTCCTGTCTGTATTTTTAATTGTTTGTGTTTCATAGCGTTAGACAAGTGGTTAGTATCTAAAAGACATTTGATAGTTATTTGTTAAGTGGACAAGTGAAAACATAAATAGAAATGTTTTCTTTGTAAATTTTGTTGAAAAAGCACAGAAATGAAATGGAGACAGCTCTATTATGAACACCTTAAGGATCAAAACTACATCTATTTCATCTTTGTCTCCTGAAACTAATAAAACCTAACTTACAAAAGCTCTTTGATAAATAGGTGGCTAAATTAAAGTTGTCCTCACACTGTTTCGGTTATACAATGTATTAGGTGTCCACAACCAGGTAGCATACTAGCATTTTTGTTATTGTGAAACATTTTTCTACTTTTATTATAATATCCTGAGCCTAGAGTTGGGCAATTTGTATATTTATTTTGACAATCTTTTGGCAAATGGTAGCACAGCATCTTGTTCTAACAAAATTACTGTTATCATGACAATTAACCAATTAACCTTGTTCCAACAAAGTAAATGTGTCTCTTTCCAACTTCAAATGAGGAGGAATGAAGTCAGTAATAGTGAGACCTTGTGGGGACAAGCATATGTAACATGACTTGTGCTTCAGCGTTCTTTTGTGATCAAAAATTCCTTACTGTTACTTTTTTATCTATGGTAGGACCACCCAGAGCAGGGGTCCCCAACTCCCAGTCTACAGACTTGTACCAGTCCATGGATTATTAGGAACCGCACCACACAGGAGGAGGGGAGCAGCAGGCAAGCCAGGGAGGCTTCACCTGTACTTACAGCCAGCCCCATGGCTTGTACTACCGCCTGAATTCTGCCTCCAGTCAGATCAGTGATAGCATTAGATACTCATTGGAGCATGAACCCTGTTGTGAACTGCCCATCTGAGGAATGTAGGTTGTGTGTTTCATATGAGAATCTAATGCCTGATGATCTGTCACTGTCTCACATTGCTCTGCCCCCAGATGAGACCATCTGGTTGCAGAAAAATAAGCTCAGAGCTTCCACGGATTCTACATGATGGTAAGTTGTATAATTATTTCATTATATATTACAATGTAATCATAATATAAATAAAGTAGCACAATAAATGTAACATGATTGAATAATCCTGAAACCATCCCCACCTTCCCCCAGCCCATGGAAAGATTGTCTTCCACAAAACCGGTCCCTGGTGCCAGAGAGGTTGGGGACAACTGATCTAATGGAATTCACTATCACAAGTCTTACCTGGATTGCTGTTTTCAGAAGAGATTGTTAGCATCTGTTTTTCTTTGTAGTCAGAAAGTAATTGGCAAATTCTATATATAAAAATGTAATAAACCAAATTACTATTTTAATACTGATATAAAAAACTTAGCAAATGTAAAATTCTTAGAGTATTTCAAACAATATCATAATATCAGAACTTAACAGTATTATCCCATCCACTTATGAGTACATTCTATAAACTTCTCTTGAAGCTTCTAATTAAAGAAGGAAAAAATGTAAGGTGAAATGCTCACAAATCGAGAGCAGTATGATCCAGCAAATTAGCTTGCATTAGCATGACATAATAGAAAGCGTTCCAACTCTGCTTAAGTCCTGGCTCCATAATGAACAGCTATTTGTTCTTGGACAACTTGCTTCTCTTAGGCTCAATGTCTTCTTCTACAAAGTGAGGGCTTTGCTGCCTTATTTCACTAGGCTGTTATAATGATTTAACAAGATAACATTTTTTAAATGCTCAGAGAAATAGTAAAGCAATGGAATAATCTGTTCCTAAACTTCATGACTGAAATTATCTCGGAATCCCAAATAAAACCCAGTGTGTATTTTGTTCATAGATTCTAATATGCAAATGTTGTAGTTTTCAGAAAATGTTATTAAGTCCTAATTCTACTTCTTAGTTGTTCTGCTCCTTATGGCTTATAATTCAGGACATCCCAACTATGTCATAGTTTGTAACTAAATTTACTCATAAATATCTCATTAAAGTAGCTAATGTGATTGTCCACTATTACAGAGTTGACCAATCACACCAAGGGCAGAAGAACCAATAGATGTTAAGACCTGGCTTGAACCAATGATCCTTCTCTACTGACTCCAACTCTGAGCCAGCAGATGTTTGTTAAGATAATGCTTTATATTGATGTTCAATTGCAGCTGACATGGAGACCAAAACTCTACCTTTATTTTTTTTTTAGTTTCCATGAAGAAGTTGCAAGTTGACATTCTCTAATTTTTGACATACATACTAACAACATATTTTGCACTGAACATGTTATTCAGCTCCAAGTCATCTCATAGACCATCTTACATGACTATTTTTTTAGTGCAAATCACAATTTCATTATTTTGGTGGCACCCATGTTGCTTTGATTCACACTGTTTCCTTAGAGCTAGTCAGCAAATAATCAAATAACCTTCCAGTGACTGCCCAAAATATAGAACACTTCAAAAATTTGTGCTGCTTCCTTACTGCAGAAGCCATGCTAATTTTCTCTGTATTGTTCCCATTTTAGGATATGTGCTGCTGAAGCAAGCACAAAGCCCTACTTTTACACATGATTAGTGATGAGTCATGGACAGGGCTTGGCTCTGTTAAGTCCAACTAACCTACTTGAGACTCTGAGAATTCTCTTCAATGGCTTCCTGTGAGGTAGAATTTAAAAATATTTTAAAATCTTGAGCTACAGATGAAAGTAGCTTGGACGATTTTCATTATCGTGTAAAACAAATCACTCAAGGGGCCCACCACAACTGGGAGCCACTGCTCAGGGAAGATTCATATGGAACTTTCTACTGCCTAAGGTTCTCTACAGGATATACAGGTGCCTCACAGTACAGATCTGGTAGCAAAGAAGAAACAAACACTGATCTCTTTCTGCCATATTATTTGAACCCCTCTGACCCTTTAGAACAAGCCCAATTAATATCTGCCAGAGAAAAGACCAACAACGGCCTCAAAGGATCTCGTACCATGAAGATCTCAGCTAACTCTTGGCTAAGACGCGGGTTCCACATTAGGTTCTGAATATGGGGGGAAGGGTCAATTTGCTCACTTTGTCTGCGGATAAAGGCAGGATGCTCAGCGGCCAGAGCAGGGTGCTGGTGCTTTGGGAACAATGGCTGAGCAAATAAGCATGGGTATGGGAACATACAAACGTTGTAACTTCAAAGTCACTGTATGACTTGCCATGAAGACTTGAGGACTCTGAATCAGTAAGGGCATCTTTGTGTCAAAGATCAACCATTACCAGGCAGCAGGACCATTTGAGTGGCAACAATGCAGCAACAGGAGCAAGTGAAACATCAGAATGACTGGAATGTCCTTTTTTTCCCTCCTCCTTCTGACTTGATAAAAGGGACTGTCTTCCTTGGATTTAGTGAATCCCTTCAGTTATTGAAAAACTCAAGGAGTATGTAGGAGATAATACCCAGAAGACAGTCCAAGGCTTTCTGTTAAACTGGACATTTCAAGACCCAAATAACTAATCAGAAAAATCAAAGATATGACACTATTCTTTAATCCCATGCATAGGTGTTATACTTGGATGAAATGAACGGTGTTGGGATCTCTAAGTATCAAGGTCTAAAAGTCCTGAGATAAAGAATCCTGCACCCATTGGTACCTCTAACTTGTCTTGCTTTTTGTCTGATTTCTGGCTGATGAAGGGGACTAACTGACTGCCACTCTAAAACTACCTGAACCGCACTATGACATGTCACCTCATATGTAAGATGCGATTGTTATAATTACTTTAATCCTCAATTTAGCATTAACTAGCCTTTTAATGTAAACACTTACACATTATGATGACTAGAAACAGCATAGTCTCTGGCCATCTGTCCAGATAGATCTTTAGAAGAGACATCAATATTTTGCTCGAGTAGAAGGCTGACTATACTTGCTGATCCACAACGTACAGCAAGTATGAGAGCATTTCTAAAATGACAGAGATAATTTCTCCCTTAGGAACTGTAATAAACTTATTTTAAAAGCTAATTTGATATACTTTATCAACTTAACATCTTGCCTGTCCATGCAGAATTAAAGATTTACATGCACTAAAACACATAAGCGTCTTGGGTGCTTAAGTGTTCATCTTTGTAAAATACCAACAAGGTTTAAAGGAAGGGACAACAAGGAAACCTCTTATCTCAGTGGGGTATTGCGTAGTAGAAGACATTAATTTAAAGTCCTTTAATGGGCAAGAAACAATGCTAGTGTCACTTATCTGAAGTGGACAAAGGTTTAAGTGAAGATTTCCTTACAGCTTCCCTAGACTGATATGCTGTAATAGAAAATCAGCTAGGGGGTAAGATAAATAAGGGCTCTCTGCTTGCTGAAAGCAGTAATATTAATAATAATGGTAAGAATAGTAGTCATAGGAGTTTCAGTTAATGATGCCAATAAGCATGTGCTAGGCACTGAATTAAATGCCATATATATCTTCCTTACTTATGCACAGCCAACTTTGAAGGATGTATTCTCCTACTTTTCATATATGACAACATGTGTGGTGGTAAATAAGATTCCCAAGGTCACACACCTAGCAAGTAAGAAAGCTAGGGATTAAACCCAGTCTTGTGTGAATCCAAAGCCTAGCTCTTTTCTCTTTATCACCCACCTACGGCTTGCCTTCATTAAAGGAAAAGTGTATCCACTTAAAACTATCTTCACTCCCTCTCTCCATACCAATTAAAAATAAAAACATCAAAATACACTGGAAATAAAAAAGGAAAAAAGCTGTGAACCCATAGTGTGTGGGAATAGCAATTAATTGTCATGTAGGGATAAGCTAACATTAATATTCTTCAAACAAGGCAACTTAAAGTAGAGTCATTGAAAAGACAAAAGGATTCTCAACTCCTATTTATGTTCCATACAGCATATTTATCAGAAAAGCACAGAAGACACAGAGGTTAAAAACTACTGGAAAGGGTTAAGAAGTTCAATACTGAGTCATAAAGTAAACTAAAAGTTAAAGTTTACATTTCATAAAATTAATATGAAATCCCTTTAGCTAACATAATATCAGGTAACCAAAATGTCATACAACAAATAACATCAGTCAATACAATAAGAGAAGATGAATCCTACTAAAACTGTTCTTCATGTTGCCCAGTCCAAATAATTGTTTTTCTGCTTAACTGATTTGTGTTGATACTGATCACTATGTCCCAATAAGTATAATTTAATCTTATTAATTTATTATTTATGACTTGAGTGACTGCTATCAATCTCGAACAACACACAGATTAAAAGAACTATACCTTCCACATCTGTCACGTGCATTTAAATTAGCTTTTTTCTTGATTAAAAATTTCACCACTAGCTGTTTTTGTCCACGTACGCCAAGCAAAAGTGGTGTGAGGCCATGCTATAAAACAATATAAAATAAAAACAATATGTAATTCAAACAATTATGTATTTCTCAGCTGAACTGGAAACTTTATATAAGATCCCATGGACTTACACTCATAGAAAGTAAATCAAATGTAGCTGCTTCCATCTCACTCTTCTGTGCTTTCCCACATGCTGCTGCTTCCCTTGGAAACACCCCTTCGCTGCCTGACCACATCAACTCTGATCATCTCAAAAACTCACTTTCAACGTTTACTGCTTCCAAGACTCTTTGCTTCTAACCCAGCATTTGGCATGGCACTTTTGGATGATGATTTTTTTTCCATTTAAACAAAGAGCTTCTTGAGGGCAGGGGATGTATCTTTTATCTCTATATTATCCAACCCTAAGACAAAATTCTTGTGTATAAAGCAAGAATTTGAATGTAAAATATTTCTTTAGTTTCACCTGTTTTACCAAAAGTTCAAGCTCCAATGTGCAATAAAAATTGCTATTAATACTCATACTGCCCCTTTTAAGAATTTTTGTTTTTATTCATTTAAAATCTATTTGTATTTAATTTTTCCAGATTGTTAACTAAATAGGTAATCAGTTCACAGGATTACTGAAACTAACAGAATTCCTGTCTGTATTCTTAATACTCCATGGATTTTAGTGTTTAAACCTGCCATCCTGATTATGTCAAACCTCTGCAAACTTAAGAGACATAATGGATAGTCCATAATACAGCTTCAATTGACAGAAAAAGTTTAGAATTTGCTACAATTCTAATTGAGAAAACTGCTCTTAGCAATGACTTACTGACCTAAGCACTTGAATATCTGAACAAAGAGACACAAAATCCTGAGAGGGCCATTCTCTACTTAATGAAAGACTACTCACTGCAAATTTCTAAAGACCTTCTGAATGGCAGGGAATAACTGAAGGTATAAAGGAAAAGGTATTATTCCGTAAGCTGATAGATAGTGCCAATAATATTCATTTTAATGTCTCAACCACTGATAAAAGTCAGACTCGGGCAGGAATGGTCGCTCACACCTGTAATCCTAGCATTTTGGGAGGCTGAGGTGGGTGATTCGCTTGAGCCCAGGAGTTCAAGATCAGTCTGGGAAACATGGCAAAAACCTCATCTCTACTAAAAAAAAAAAAAAACAAAAACTGAGATTGGAGGACGACCTGAGCTTGGGGAGGTCAAGGGTGTGGTAAGCTGTGATCACACCACTGCACCACAGCCTGGGGAACAGATTGAGACCCCATCTCAAAAACAAACAAACAAAAAAAGTTAGATTAATGTTATTGGAAAAGAAAGATTTAAAGGAATTAGCACATATCCAACTCCAACTCTTCTAGAAATATCTTACGTTTCTGAGATATAAGAATTTACATATTACACTTATGTATTCATGTTCTTAAGCAGGAGTGTATCCAGATTTTGAGAAATTTGTTGTTGTTGTCATTGTTAGAGAGTGGGTCTCATGTTGACCAGGCTAGACTTGAACTCCTGAGCTCAAGCAATCCTCCCACCTCAGCCTCCCTAGCAGCTGGGACTACAGCCATGCACCACCATGCCTGGCTTCAAGGAAACATTTTTAAACATATATATCCAGGCTTTATTAGACTTACTCTATCAAAATCTTCAGGGGAAAGCCTAGACTTGTGGACTATTTAAAAATTTTCCTGAGGTAACTGGAATGCACAACTCTAGCTGGAAGCTAGTGCAATAGACGATTACTTCAGTCTCATCTCTCATCCACATAACCAATTCCCTTTATCATTTGAGGATTTGGCCAAAAAGAGGAAAGAGTAGGAGAGAGACTCGTTTGCTGAAAATACCACATAATTTTCCCCGGTAAGAGTAAAACAAGGTCTAGTAAACTCAAAATCCAACCTGATCTCGTTCCTTATAAGCCCCTTGTCTCCCACCTTCCCATAAAGACATGCTAGCGTTGAAAGCAGAGTTGAGACTCTAATTGGCCATTTTTACCAGAATAGGACACTAAGTCAGTTAATAACTTGTCGTTCCCTCTGCTCAAGGGTTTCCCACAACATTACCACCTATTCACTGCCTATCGGGATCCTCAGAGCTCTCCTGAAATTGATCTCTAGGCATTTTTCAACCCATTAACTCCCTCTCCCAAACTGAAAACTGTCATTTTCTAAAATTTAAAAGAACCTTGTCTCACCATACAAAGGAAACAAATGAATGAACAACAACAACCACACTCACACACACACACACGCATGCAGAGACATACACACACACAAAACCTCTTCACAGTCTTTTCCCTCCATTACCTAATTTCCAAATTGGCCTTGATATTTCTGATTGCTGTCTTTTTCCCTTTCTGCTTCTGCCTCACGAGCAATCAGAAATATCTTAAGCCTTGCCACTGAGAGATACATCACCTCATATCTATTACTGTTTTGGTTTGGTTTTTTTTTTTTTTTTTTTGGGAACTTGCCAAAGGAGCAGGATTACCATTCACCGAAATATGTTTAAGTTTTCTTGGAGTTTTAATGTGAAACCTATTTCCAGGGCAAATTTTGTCATTTTACATTCATTAGGGGGAAAAAAAAGAAAACCTGGCAGGGAAAAACTGAAAAAAAAAAAGTATTACCTTTTGCAAATTCAGTGTTTTAAAAAAAATATTAACCACAAGTGCATTAAAAAAAAACTGTAACCTCTAATGCTTCTTTAAAAGTAGCAATATTTAAAACAAAGTCTTAGATAATTAAGTCATTTCAAAATATTTTCATTCAGGTTATGCTTGAGCTTCCAAATATGGAAAACTGGCCCTTACCCAGGTCAACGTTAAAATGAATGCATTTCAGTATTTTGAAGATAAAATTGGTAGATCTATACCTTATTTTTTGATTCAATATCAGCACCATATAAGAGCAGTGCTTTTGCCATTAATTTATCTTCATTGTAGATAGCATAGTGTAGAGCAGTATTTCCATACTCATCTGGAATATTTGGATCAGTGCCATGTTCCAGCAACATTAATGCACATTCATCTTCTTGGCATTGTACAGCCTGTCAGTATTAGACCAAAAATAAATTATAAGTCCTGGGAATTAAAAACAACATTCCACAGCTTTCACCAACTAGTTCTATTTAAATGAGAAAACTCATTTTTATGCTATGTATTGAAATCAAAGCCATCTCATGCTGATATAGTTGACTACTGCATACCTTGATCAGAGCTGTCCTCTTTTTGTTGTCAAGGACATCAAGTTGACATCGTCTGTCCAGCAGGAGTTTTACTATTTCTGAATTCCCATTGGCAGAGGCCAGATGTAGAGCAGTCCTATGAGAGTGAGAAGACTTTTTAGGAAATTGTAGTGCACTATCTACAGCTACATCAATGATTCATGCAATAGCAAACACAGAATAGCCTGCTATTACTCTGCCTTCAAAACAAACTTAATTTCCCTTTGAAGAAAGCACACTACTTATTACCTCATGACTCACTGTATGAATGAAAGAGCAGCCTATTTGAATAGGAAGAGCAGAGCCCTTGGATGGCATTCAACGTGGGCTGGAATCCTACTTGAAGCTCTGATGCTTCCCAGCTGTTGCTTACCTTTTTGGCTCTCAATTTCCTCATCAATAAAATGGGAATGAAAAGAGTCGATTTCTCAGAGGAAACCACAGTAATGCTTAAATAAGACTCTACACAAAAGATATAGAATAGTTCCTAACACAAATAACAGCTCAGTAATTGTAAGATATTATAATTTTTACTAATACCACTAAAGACAACATTTGAATTCAGTAAGATAATACAATTATACCTACACTTTCAGGTATGTTTTAAAGATTACAGGTAACGATGTATTTTATTGATTCTAAGATGATCATTGTCTCTATGTTTACCATTTCTCACACTGAAATACCACTTATAATTCATGATTTACTATAACTATAATTGGCAGCATTTAAATAATTCTCTTATTGAGACATACAATAATGGGGCATCTTACAATCCCTGGTGCCTTACATTAAGTAGAATATGTTACAATATAACACGTCTGGGGCGGTTCCAGTCAGATGACTAGCATTTAGATAAATTTTAGTTCTTAAAAGAAGTATGGAATAAGAGGGCTGAGGTGAAAACACAAACAAATTTCTAAAATAATCTATTTCTTACTTTGGTTTTCAAAAACTTTAAGCCAAAGAAAGCTTGAAATTCAAATGAATGGCATGGGCTCATTTTTATCAATACTTAGATTTATACAATGTATGTACATTAGATATTTCCAATCATTCATATTAGGATTTAAGACTATTATAATTCTTCTCCTTTTAAAATGAATTTATGAAACTATTTGTGGAGCTTTTTTTCAACGTTTACTTTCAGGGGTACAGGTGCAGGATGTGCAGGTTTGTTACATAGGTAAAAACATGTCAAGGGGGTTGGTTGTACAAATTATTTCATTACCCAGGTGTTAAGCCCAGTACCCATTAGTTCTATTTCCTGCTTCTTTCCCTCCTCCCACCCTCCACCCTCTGATAGGCCCCAGTGTGTGTCGCTTCCCTCTAGGTGTCTGTGTGTTCTCATCATTTAGCTCCCACCTATAAGTGAGACCGTGCGGTATTTGATTTTCTGTTCCCGTATTAGTTTGCTAAGGGTAATGGCCTTCAACA